TGCTTGAATTTCGCACCAACAGGTACCGATACCGCTATACTCCCCGGACCTCTCCGAGGGTGCGCTCTGACCGGACGTTCGATGCGAAGCCGGCGGTGGCGACGACGAGGGCGTCCGAGGAGGCCCAGACAGGAGAAAGCGAGGAAGGGGTAGAGGTATGAGTACCCTTTCCTCCTCTCTTGCAATTCGCTCGTGCCGAAAAACTGCCTCCCGTTTGGACGCCCGAAATGGGTACGGAATGAATGGGCACTATGCCCAACAACCAATGTTGTCCCAAACCAACAGCGGCCGCTGTTGGGCGGGCGGCCTCCTGTCTCGAATGGACACAGGCGGCGGCGGCGTGGACAGCGGATCTTGTTCAAAATGAACAAAATCCGCTGTTGGGCATAATACCCATTCTTTCAGTACCCATTTCGGGCGTCCAGATCGCGAGGGCGGGGGCGCGGCCGCGGCCGGCGTGGTGGGCTCGCCCCGGGGGGGGGAGGGCTGCGGGCGCGGCGCGGCGCGCGCAGAGAGGCCGTCGACGGCCTCGCGGGCGGGGGAGCGCGGCGGGGCCGGGGCTCTTCCTCCTCCTCCTCCTCCTCCTCCTCCTCCTCCTCCTCCTCCTCCTCCTCCTCCTCCTCCTCCCTCGTCCTCCTCCCTCGTCCTCCTCCTCCTCCTCCTCCTCCTCCTCCTCCTCCGCCGCGGCGGGCGGGGCCTTCGAGTACGAGTTCATCTTGTTTGTGTCTGTTGTTGCTGCTTTTTGTTGTCTTGAGGTCGGGTCTGTTGTTATGGTGGTGGTCTCGGCTTGTTGTTGTGCTCGTTGTTTGTGTGTGAGATGCCTCCTGTGACTGCTGTCACGTTTGGTTGTGCTGATCTTGCTGGCTGTGTTTGTTTTGTTATGCTGTTATTCTTGTTGGAGGCCTCGCAGATGGAGTCCGAGCGGACTTGGGCCAGGCCCGACCGCCTGGGCACTCCTGGGGGGGGGGCCGGCCAAGAGGCGCTCTCGGCCAGAGCGTCAGAGAGAGAGAGAGAGAGCGAGAGCGCTGCAAGAGAAAGGTGCAGGCTCTTCGGACATGCAGCCGACGTGCTGAATCGAGGCAGTCGCAGCCATAACTGTTCTGAGAATATGTCGTGCAGGGTTCTTGGAGCTTTTTGCGGTGGGCCTAGAGGCACGCCAGGCAGCCTCGCCACTGCTTGAGAGCTGGGGTCGGAGGATCGCACCGCATCGCCGATGCATCGGCGATGCACCAATGACGTCGACGCCGCGACAAACGTGCTCCATGTCGGCCATGCATCGGCGATGCGGCGCGAACCTCCGACCCCATCGGCTCGGACTCCTCCTGGGAGGCCCAGAGTTGTGCGGCAATGAATTCCCAGAATGGGCCGCACGCGAATCGTAAACGTTACATCCTTTGTGCAACGCGTCCTGCGCGGCAGCCCGAGGCTGCAACCGATCGCCAGCTGGCCGACGGGATGTTGGTCGAGCCAGCTCCTCTGGCTAGCCTGGCTCGCTCGCTGTCGCGGGCCGCCTCCCACGCTGCCACCAACTCTGGGCTCTGCACTGGCAAAATTAGAGGGGCGCTGACAATTACGCACAAGTCCTAGGTTTCCCCATACTTTCGCATATTTTCTAGGTTTTCATCTTCCCCCCCCGCTTCCCATATTTTCCTGGGAATCGACGATCAATTGAGTCTGTGTGTGTGCTTATCCCCTCCTGTAAAATTGGCATGGTCTGACTGCGACAAGCCGGGCGGCGGCTGCCAGAAAATCACGTGCCGCATGGCTCGCCCAGGGAGCCGACGTCCTGGGACCCACTGGGCGGCGGATCTGGACACGGGTGCGGATACCGCTGCTCCCGGGAACTCTCCCTGGGTACGCTCTGACCAGGTCGAGGCGACTCCGGCCGTGGCGACGAGGGCCTCCCGAGAGGCCGAAACAGGGGGGAACGGGCGGCGAAGGCGGCGATGGCGACGGCGACCGGCGAAAGATATCGACCGACGGCAACCAGCGACGACGACGCCCGACGACGACATCGCCCGACGACGACGACGGACGTCCTTCAGACAGCGAAGACTGACGATGACCGACGGCGACGACCGACGACGACTCACAACAACGACTACGCGCAGCGGCGACGATCGACCGACCGACGACCTGCCGACCGTCCTACGACCGACACGCAGAAACAAATCGACACAGATACCGCTACTCCCCTGACCTCTTCGGGGGCGCATCCTGACTAGAATTTAGAAGCTAATCCAGCCGTAGCCAGGACCCCCAAAGCGAAAACAAGAGAAGGATAACAGTATCGACGCTCGGGGGCGTTCCAGAGGAGGGCGTCCATGAAAGGGGTTCGCAAGTCATGGCCCGCGGCGCATGAGCCGCCCAGGGGGGTCAAGCGACGTTTTGGCATAACGAAAGGGAAACCATGAACTCTGGGGAGACATTGCCCCAGCTATGACCCCCCCCCTGGGCATCACCCCCCGCTTGGCCGCCCCCGAGATGCCTGTTCTTGGCGGCGCGCACAAGGGGGTAGGGGGAGGAGGGAAACATTTTGAGAAGGCACGCGTATTCAAGAGCAGCAGGGGTGCTACTAAGAAGCCTTCCCTCCCCCCCCCTCTGCGGATGTCCGATCGTCACCGCCGCTCCCGCCGCTGTCGCCACCCATCGTGGGCCCCAGAACCGTGCGCTGACAGAGCGCGCTGTGCCGTCGAAATCCCGAAAGACCTCACTGCACGGTGCCCCGCCGCACGCTTCTGGGGACCCTGGAGGCCCCAGTCGCCCGAGACCTCCTCGGAGAACGGCCCGCGTCCCAAAAGCGTGCGGTGACCACGAATCCCCACCGACTCACCACGCCGGGTGCTCCCCCCCAATTGCGCGTGACTGACTCTGCGCCCCTGAGGCCGACAGAGGACCGACTCGCCATCGCTCGGACGCTCATGCCCCGTGCCTTCATCGACCTCGTGCGCATTTTTCCTCGCAAGATACACACGCGGATGCTCTGGAGAGGAAGAAACAAAACGCCAGAAACATAAACTGCTGACCCTACGCGCGGATTTCTTGGATCTGCGCTGGACCCCCCTCCCTGGCGCGCGGAGCGCACCAGGAGCGGCGCCAGCGACGCCGCCACGGGGGGGGGGCAAGCGCGGATCCGAGAAATCCGCACGGAGCGCCGACAGTTTATGTCTATGGCGTTTTGTTTTCTTCTCCGAGAGGTACACCAGGATGCTCCTCGATGGTCCTCGTCTTAGCTCGGGCATGTCCTCCTGCAGGCGGATAATGGAAGGAAAATGCGAACTAGTTAAAACATTCCCGATCAAAAACCAAACGTAGTAAAAAAACAGTCGCCCCCCAGACTATATGTTTGACTACTGTACAATGCTCCTCCAGTAGAGGGACATGCCCGACTTCATCCATCCTCGCCTAGGGAAACATACACACACACGCCCGAGCTTTGGACACCCGAAATGGGCACGGAAAGAATGGGCACAATGCCCAACAGCAAATGTTGTCCCAAATCAACAGCGGCCGCTGTTGGTTCGGGCGACTACCTGTCTCGAGTGGGCACAGGCCGCGGCGGCGCGGACAGCCAGTCCTGTTCAGAATGAGCAAGAATTGCCGTTGGGCATCGTACCCACTCGTTCCGTGCCCATTTCGGGCGTCCTCCGAGCGATGCCCAGCCGACGACCGACCGCCCGCCGCGCGGTGGGCGACGGCCACGGGCGGCGGGCGCTTTCCGCTGGGCCGGCGGCCGCCCGAGGGCTGTGCGTCCGCCGCGCGCTGGCTGGCGGCGGCCCGCGCGGTCAGGAGGTGCGGCGGAGGTTGGGGCGCGGGGGGAGAGAGTCGGACACCCAGGAGAGAGGAGGGGCCGGATATCAAGGAGGGTCGGATATCAAGGAGGGCCGAATATCAAGGAGGGGCGGATATCAAGGAGGGGCCGATATCAAGGAGGAGCCCGATCGAGGAGAGAGTCGGAAATCAAGGAGGTGCGGATATCAAGGAGGAGTCCGATCGAGGAGAGAGTCGGATATCAAGGAGAGTTGGATATCAAGGAGGGGCGGCTGGAGGCGGGGTGCGGGGGGAGAGAGTCTCACTGCACCGACCTTGCAGACGTGCGGATTTTCGCATGGACTTCAGTCAATGCAAAACCCCGAATCCTCGAGCGAAAAACGGAGTGAATTGCATGTGGATTTGTTGTGGTCATCATTCCTGGCCAAGAAAAATCCGCACGAAATTCACATCGAAATCTGGAACGAAATTATCCAGGACAATCCGGGCCCATCCCATAGTTCTCCGAGCGAAATCCGCTCTGTGATGTTGGCGCCACGAATGGCCGGATATCAGGGAGGAAGGAGTGGCCGGATCAAGAAGACTGCGTGACGGGGCGCATCGTCGTATCTTCCGTGCCGTCAATATCGCATCACGCACGTGTGAACCTACTTAATAGAAAAATATTCGGTGAGCAGGAGAAGTCGCTAAGATACTGATCGAACTGAGTATGGAAAGAACGTGCACAAATCCCGCCGAGCACCAAACGGCATCAGGGGGGCCATGGGGGAGGCAGGAGAGGAGGGGAAGATTGAGTATGGGGAGGAGAAGGAAACAAAGGAAGCAGGGGGAGAATGGAGAAGCTAGAGCGAGGGGAAATGGCGGCGAGAGGGAAACGCGAGGGACGGGGGAGGAGGGAGAGGCGGGAGCAGGCTGGGAGGGAGGAGGGACAGGACACGGGCAAGAGCGCGAGGAGAAAGAGGGGGGAGGAGGAGTAGTAGAAGGGAGGAGGGAAGAGGAGAGGAGGAGGAGGAGGAGGAGGAGGAGGAGGAGGAGGACTATGAGGAAGAGGAAGAGGAGAGGCAGGAAGAGCAGGAGAAGGAGGAGGAGGAGGAGGAGGAGCAGGAAACAAGAAGGTGGAGGAGGATGAAGAGGAGGAGGAGGAGGAGGAGGAGGAGGAGGAGGAGGAGGAGGAGAAGGCTCGCGCCCAGGGCACGCCGCCGCCCCTCAAAGGCCGGCGCGCGTGCGCGCTACCGCTCGCAGGCTGCGAAGAAGGTCTCGAGCTCGCGCCAGGGCAGGATGTCGCCCTCGTGGCGGGGGCGGGGCAAAATCAAATACCGATGCCGCTGCTCCCGAGACCTCTCCCCGCGCGCCCTCGGACCAGGAGTGTCGAGGCGAGTCCAGCCGTGGCGACGAGGGCCTCCCAGGAGGCCCACAAGGCGGGAGCGAGGGAAGGGCAGCGGCACCAGTACAAACACTTCACCTGAGGTTAACAAAATGACCCACGCGAGGCCAGACTGCTTGAAGGCATCGATTGTCGTTCGCGTTGCCTTCCCCCTTCGAGTAGGGGATCCACTACAGAATTGACTCACCCGAATTGTCTCCCCGTCGGATATGCGAACAAACACATAGTAAGCCCGTGCGCGGGCTTCGTAGATCCGCCGGGCAATCACTTCTGGAGTGAATCAACTCCTGGCCATCGCTCGGGCGTCCATTTCCTGTGTTTTTGTTCGGTTTCGTGCGTGGTTGTTTCGCCAAATGATCAAGGATGCTCCTCGATGGTCCTCGCCGAAGGAAAAATGCACACGTCCGAGCGATGCCAAGACTCTGCCGTCGATCCCCCTCTCGACCCCTCGGGCCTTGGCCGTGTAGCGCGCGATGCGCCCCAGCTCCGCGTCGATGAAGTCGGCGCGCGTGCCCAGAGCCCCCTGGCTGTGCTGCGCCGCCTCGTGCCACGGCAGCGGGGCGCCTCTGGGGCGCGGAGGGGCGGTGCGGTGTGGCGCCCGTGCGCCACCGCCGTGCCTGGCCGGGGCCACGCTCGGCCCTGGCACGGGGCACGCTAGAGTTAGGTCGGGCAGGTCCTCCTACAGGGGGGATTCTGGGCGAAAGGTGGAGAGTAATCAGAAGAAGCCAGAAAGAGTCCCCCCCCCAAACAAAAAAATGGAAGCGTCACTCCCAGACTATTTGTGGATGTTCCTCCTGTAGAGGGACATGCCCGACTTAGCACTAGGGGCTCCTAGATGGTGTCGGAGCAGATGGGGTCGGAGGATCGCGCCGCATCGCTGATGCATCGTCGATGCATCGGCGATGCACTGGCGACGTCGGCGATGCATCGGTGCCGTCGGCGTGAAGAGAAGTGGGCCCCACATCGGCGATGCGGCGCGATCCTCTGACCCCCATCTACTCCGACCCCACCTGCGTAATTAAGAGGCCTAGACACACGCCCTCCTGTGCCGAGGCCAGGAGGGTCTATACACCGTGCCGTGGCCAAGGGCGGCCCTGGCCGATCGAGGAAGAGCAGACTGCCGGAGCTCCGCGCGGACTTCCGCGATTCGCGCCTGGTAGCCCCCCTCCCTGGCGAGCGGAGCGCGCCCAGGGCGGCGCCTGAGAGGCCGCCATGTGCGTCCCGGCGCGGGCCCGAGAAATCCGCGCGGACCGCCGAACTTGCTTCATGTGATTTTGTTGCAGCGTGCGGTGGCTTCTTCTTCTTCGAGTCGAGCATGGCTGTGGCGCGCAGATTCCACTCCCCTTCTGCGGGCGTGCCTGCGACCGGGTGCAGCCGCAGCTCCGGGTACTCCCGCCTGCCGCCAGGAGGGCAACTGTATACGCGTCGGCACCCGCCTCTGGCCAGGCCAGACCCCGACCCCGGTGTGTGCGCCGCGGTCCTGGGCCCAAGACGGACCTGGCCAGAATGGGTGTCGGAGCGTAGCGAGACATCCGATACAGTGGGGGCCAATCCACAAGAAACTTTCCACAAGAAACCCAGCCCGGAGACCCCAGGACGTCCATGGATTTCTGGTGCGGGAACATCGCGCTCTCCATCGCAAAACCATCGAAACCCAGGGCACCCTGGAGGCAAGCAGGGTGTTTCTTGGCATGGCTTTCCACTGAACCGAGATATCCGAGACACTGATTTCTGGTTCAGTTCAGCTTGCGGGCCCCAGAGTCCCACCAGCTCTGTGGGCTAAGGTGTCCTAGCGATAGCTCTCCTCTTTCAAAATCCCTCTTCCCTTCGGGGAGGGGTCGCCTCCCCTCCCCTCCCTGAGGTTTTTTTTTCAGAAAGACCCCCAATGCGCCCATCAAAAACTTACACGGGAAAATGATGCGTGACTTCTCGCCGTCTCGCTTCCGATGAGCTTTTTAAAAACGTCCACAGAGGGACCCAAGAGCCCTCTCAAGAGCACCCCAAGACGGCCCCACGAGGCGATTCTGATGGCCCCGGGAGGGGTGGGTGGCCAAACGTTACGACCCCCTCTCTTTTCACCGACGACATCCGCGATAGCCCAAGAGGCCCTTCAGGCTCCCAACAGGCCACCCAAGAGCGGACCAAGAGGGCTACAAGTGGAGATTTTGATGGCCCCAGGGGGGGAGGGAGGGGGGGGAAAGTATCGGGGGGCAAACATTACGACCCCCTCTCTTTTTCACCGACACACTCCCTCGCTATCGCTCGGACATACATTCCCCATGCTCTTTTGGCTCGGACATCCATTCCCCGTGTTCTTTTCGATGTCGTGTGTGCTCTGTTTGGCTCGATGATTCAGGATGCTCCTCGATGGTCCTCGCCGAGATAAAATGTACATGTCCGAACGATGCCAGGGGGAGGGGGGGGGGGGGCAAACATTACTACCCCCTCCCTTTTTCACCGACGCCCTCCACGATAGCCCCAAGAGGCACCCCAGGGCCCCCAACAGGCACCCAGGAGAGCCCCAAGAGGACCCAATACCAGCTCCAAAAGAGCTCCACGAGGACCCCAAGATCCCTCAAACGAGTCCCAGGAGGGCTTGAGGCGATTTTGAGGGCTCTGTCCTCGTCCGCGTTGTCGTTGTCCTCCTCCTCCTCCTCCTCCTCCTCCTCCTTCTTGCCCACATCGTCTTCATCCACCTGTTCCTCCTCTTCCTCGTCATCGTGGTGGTCGTCGTCGTCGTCTCCCTCCTCATCATCCTGCTCCTCCTCCTCCTCCTCCTCCTCCTCCTCCTCCTCCTCCTCCTCTTCCTCCTATCCTCGCCCCCACGCGGGCCTCAAGGATGACCCGAAGAGGTCCTCCAAGGCCACCCCCCTTTTCGGCCCGGTTGCCCGCTGAGTTTGGTTCCTCCCCTTGGCCATGAACTCTCAGGGGCAGGGTTTCCGAATGGGCTGGTGGGGAGACGCGAAGCGGGAAGAATTGTCCACACCTTTCAATTGGGAAAAATGGGGACCATGACCAACACTGGACGCGGAAGTGCCGTGTCGATCCTCGTCAGCGCTAATTCGTAGATCATCCTCGCAAGTCGGCGACGGCCGACAGGGACCATGACCAAGATCGGCATCGACAAGATCCCACGACATATTGGTCATGGTCTCCGTGATTCTTCCCTCGAATCTTTGGCATGGGAAGGGGGATCAATTCAGTCCAGAACTCGTTGTTGACGGCCAGCACGAAAAAAACAGCCCAAGAAGCTCAAAGCCCTGAGCCCTGACGTCGTCACTTTGTCACAACGAGGGCCACCGGCGGTTTCGACCCCTTTCCTGGGATCGGCACGTCATCCCGAGCCGTTCTGTTGACGGTCCCGAGGCCCGGGGACGGCCGTCAGAGGCCGAAAACTGGCAACAACCCTCCATCGTGATTTTCTTCGGGCGTCGCTGCATGGGGAGAAATCGGGGGTGGGGGGGCGGGGGAGGGGGGAGAAAGGTATATTTTGGGGCCCCAGAGACCCCCATGGGGGCCCCTCCTGCAGCCCTCGCTGCCCCCCCCACTTGATAGAGCCCCCCACACCATTACGCTTAGGTCGGGCATGTCCTCATACAGGCGGATCTTGCGCGACAAATGGAAAAGCCTTAAAACTATTCAGACACAATCAAGAACATATTCGAGGAGAGAAAGCGTCCCCAGACTATCCTTCGACGAGTTGAGAACTTCCTCCTGTAGAGGGGCATGCCCGACTGAACATTGCGCGCCCCCCCCAGAACATTTCTCGCGACGCGGTGGGGGCCCCGGAAGCGGAGGAGAAGCCGACGGAGGCCGCCGGCGCAGGGCTTCGCGGAGCGCGCCAGGGGCGGCGCCCGGAGGCGCCGCCAAGGGGGGCCAAATCAGCGGAGATCCAAGAGACCCGCGCGGAGCGCCAAGAGCTTATGTCTGTGGCGGTTTCTCTCCTCCGATGCCCACCCCCACTGATCTCGCCCACCCCCCCCCCAAGACGCGCCCCCCCCGCCGCCCCAGCATCTCGCGAGGCGGTGGGGCCCAGAAAAGCGGAAGGGAGGCTGGCCCAGAGGGGGACCCGGCGGAGATCCAAGAGACCCGCGCGGAGCGCAGACAGCTTAGGTCTGTGGCGTTTTTTCTCCTCCGATGGCCCCCGCATCAGCGGATCGCGCGCGACCGCGCGCGCCACTGCGCTCGCATTTCCGCTCGGCCGGCGGGGGCCCAGGCGGACATCATGAACCCCAAACCCCCCCAAGACGCGCCCCCTCCCGCCCTCATTTTCTCACGACCCGGCGGGGCCCAGAAGAGCGGAAGGGAGGCCAGCCTTAGGTCGGGCATGTCCTCCTACAGACGGATTTGGGAGGAAACGTGAAGAATAGTAAAAGAATACTCCAAAATGGGTATGAAAAAGTCCCCATCGAATTGTTTCACTGTTTTTCAATATTCCTCCTGTAGAGGGACAGGCCCGACTTCAGTCTCGCCCCCCCCCCCCCCCAAGACGCGCCCCCGTCCCCCCCCCTTATTTTCTTATATTGTCTTGTGTTTTCTTGTGTTTTTCTTGTGTTTTCTTGTATGTTCTGGTATTCTCTTGTATTTTCCTGTGTTTTCCTGTGTTTTCCTGCATTTTCTCCCGACGCGGCGGGGCCCGGAAGAGCGGAAGGGAGGCTGTGGCCCGCGGGGGCCGCGGCCGGCGCAGGGCCGCCGCTTGCCCGGCCGCCTGGCCACGCTGCCCGCCGTGAGGGAGGCGCGCAGCAGGTGGAAGGCGGGCGCCAGCACCTCGGGGGAAGCATTGCACGAAGGATTGCAAAAAAACCCAACGAAGGATTGCAATCCTTCGTTCAGGGTTTTTTTGCAATCCTTCGGCCAGGCCAAGTGAGCGGGGCCCAACATATGGTTTGAGAAGGGACCGACTGTCCCGACATTCTCATAGGCCTACCACGACATGTTCTTAAAACCCCAAAATGTTCTAAGAACAAAAACAATGTTCTTAGAACATAAACCAGATGTGATAAAACAAGACAGTCACAGCCAGAAATGTTCGAAGAACATGCCGTGGAGACCACAGAAGGTTCTTAGACCATGGCTTGAGGCCTATAGGCACGCAAGGACGCTTCGCCACTGCTTGATGGGCACATGCCTCGGCTCGGCGACAAGACAGGGGAGGCAGGAAGTTCGAGGTTGCAAGGTTCGAACTTCGAGGTGTTCAGGCGTCCTTTCGAGATTGCGAGGTTCGAACTTCGAGGTTTTCGGGCGTCTTCGCCGGTTCTCGACTGACTTCCAGCCTCGAGGTGCTTGCCAGCAGCTGCGCCGCGCCGAGGGCGTTCGGGGGGCGCCCAAATCGTCCCGAACGGCCGCCAGAAACCCGAGTTATGGTCCAAGCGCCAGAACAACCTTTACGTCAACCTCTGCCTCGGCACACACGCCCTCCTGGCGGCCAGACCAAGAGGCCGTATGCACCGATCCTGGGCGCCCGGGCCGAGGTCTGACTACAGTCAGCCTATGCAATGAGGATGCGCGGTGCGGGTGCAAGGGCCTTGGACGCCCATGCCGAGGCTCTTCGAGCAGGGATGGTCATCGAAAGAGGTAGAGGATGGAACGAAGATGACTGGGGAGGCATGGATGCAAGGGTACCCTTGGGAAGTCGGTCATCCTTACTCTGCGGGTTGACTGTATCTACCAAACGATCCCAATCCAACCCAACCCTAAGTCACTGGTGGGCTCGTCCATTTCTGGTGGGGGAGTGTACACCAAAACATTGAGGCCCGACGATGGGACCCGTACACCCGCCAGCCCAAAAAAACTTGGGGTGGTCTAGGGCCTTCGCGACGGGTGGGGCCGGTTTGTTAAGTAGTGAGGATGGGTGCGAAGCAAATTAATGTAGCAATGACGTCGGCGTTGGATTCCGACACCGCGTGGACCACTCGACCTGAAACGATCGCGACATTCGGGTAGCTGAAAACGCTCGCCATCGGCGGGCTCTGGGCTAGGGGAGTTGCTCAAAATTGAACGCCCGCGCCAAACACGACCCCGCGTCAACGCGGCGTTACCCTTGCCATCGCTCGGACGTCCATTGCCCGTGCATGTGTTGATTTCGCATGTTCGTTTTGCCCAAGGTGCTCCTGGATGGTCCAGATTTTCTGGCCCTGGCCCTGCCGAGAAAAATGCACACGTCCGAGCGCTGCCAAATACCGTACGGCACGTTCGCGCGACGTCGACGTGGCGGCAACCCCGGCGCAGGCGGTCAAACATTGAACGCCGCCAATGGCCCTGCATCAGGATCAATGCTACCAGAAGGCCACGACCTTTCGAGGTCGAGCGATTCACGTGGTGTCAGAAACCAACGCTGCAATCGTCACGATACGAAACAGCCGCAAATGTTTGGGTGACTCCATCCGGGGCGAACAAAACCGGAACTCATGTAGCTGTCTTTCCTGGCGACTTCCGGCGCTGGATGCCCCAGTGCATCAAGGAAAGCGCCCGTCAGAAGGGCCGAGAACAGCTGCACGCAGCAGATGTCGTACCTCCCCCGTTCCCAACTCCCCCCTCGGCAGAGACCAAGCATGGCCACAAGAACACGCATGAAAAAGCCAGCTGAAAGGGCCACTAAGCCAGATTAGCCTGGATGAAGCCCAATACTAAGCGAGACTGAGCGGGATCGAAGAGAACTGGAGGAGATTCGCCGGCGAGCACAACTATACACATACCACCGGCGATGCAGAACATGATCTCATTCAAAAGCTGCATCCTAAACAGTCACACGAACCGAGTCACCCATGCGTCGAGGAGGAGGAGGAGGAGGAGGAGGAGGAGGAAATGGAGGAGGAGGAGGAGGAGGAGGAGGAGGAGGAGGAGGAGGAGGAGGAGGAGGAGGAGGAGGAGGGGGGAGGCTTGGACTTCCCCCGCCCGCCGAGGCACCGCCACGCTCGTCCAGCCTCGCCGACGGGCGTGGCGGACGAACGCCTCGGCACCGTCGCCGCCGCCGCTCGGCCCTCGTCGGCCCCCGGTGGGCGGCAGCGTCGAAGACCAGGACTAAGAGGGGGGCTGTCGGCTGAAGGGGAGCAAGGGGAGAGGCGGGGGGGGGATGGGGAGGATGGGCGGGAGAAGGATGAGGAGGAGGAAGATGATGATGAGGAGGAGGAGGAGGATGAGGAGGAGGAGGGGAGGAGGAGGAGAAGTAGGAAGAGGAGTTATGGACTTCGGGTATGGCGACTGTGTCGGTTACTACTGGAAGCAGATATCCCTGCTGTTTCTTGGCTCTTCTGGTCTGTTCACGCTTACTGTATACCTTAGGCCACAGTCCTAGGATAATACGTCTACGATAATCGGCTCGATTACGTCGAGGCGTGCGGTGCATTCATTACCGAGCTGTGCTAGCTGTTCCACTGCAAAACTCCCACAGACATTGCAAAACCACAACCTCAGCCCCGTGTGAAACCTTAAAACGTGAGACCCATGCGTACCCCCCCATGATGTGCACCCTTTGCCCAGGAGGGGGTCTGCTAATCACACCGCCCACGACAACTCGAAACATGGTGAGCTCAACCACTCGTGCTCACATGCGAGTGAGGTCGACCCCTTTACATCGGGTGCAACAACGGCCGTTGTCACCCAGGTGGTGCGACGAGGCGAAAATGGCACAAACACTGGCTGCAGGGGGTTGAACGACTGCGGTGGAAGATCTCCGCTGCCTACGCCGAGCACCGAAGGACCCAGTCTGCAGCAAACTCTTCAGCATGTATTGTTTCATGCGTGGTCTGTAAAATGCGCATGCGCACAGCAATGGTCATACTCCCAGCCCTATGTACCTGTGTGCGCGTGCTCTCGGGTAAACGTGCAATCTGAGCTCCTGCGGCTGCAAACTCGTCGGCAACGGTGTTGCCTATACTGATAAGCCTGGGAACGCGCTCTCCAACCATGTGCTCAGCGCCTAAGTGGGAATTAATGAACATAGCTGTGCAATGCAAATCAGGCTTGCGTGTAAGTTCCTGCCCCATTTTCCACCAGAGGTCGGCGTCGGCCCCCGACGGCGATAGCCACCGAGATTCGTACCAACCTGAGCACACAGTGGAATTATCCGTGGTGCATATAATGCCCCCCCTCTCACGTATGCACACCCACAAACAATACAACCCACCGCGGACGGCCGCCTGCCGAGCGCCTGGAAGAGCTGACCATATGCCGAGTGAAATGCGCATGTCATCGCCGAGCGGGCGGAAGAGGGCGACTCCGAGACCGACGCGGCGGGGGCAAGGGTGGTGCGTTTCCTTGTGCCCGCTGGCGTCGCCGAGCAGGTGCAGCGGCTGCTCGGCGAAGCCCCGTCCGAAACCTGTGAAACCAGAGCCTTCTGAGACGCGCCAATGCTCGACGTCTGGTGGACCCTCGACGGCGACCCAAGACGATAGCAATAGCCCCCTCGTCCAGAAACACTCCTCAGACTCCCACTGGGTGCATGCTGGCGGCGTACTGCTCGCTCCTCTGTTACACTGAACTGGTTGATCGAGATTCGCATCCCCATATCCTGTTAAATCTGGTCTCGGGAACGAGACGGCATCTGGTGCATGTCTCGTCTAGCTTCTGCTTGCAGTGCGTCTGCCTCCTGGTCCTGGGCCACGACGCTCCCGTCGCCGCCGCAAGCATCAAACCTGCCAGACGGGGCCCGCCAGGGCCCTCTTCGAGCTGTCATAGTAACTGTCTCTAGGAATGATTGCATATACCTCTTTCCATGCCGCTGCCGCCAAAGTGTGCGGAGGCGCCCTCCCATAACTTGGCCTGGATGGTGGATTGGAACTCAAGAGAGAAACTCTCGGGCACGTCGATGGCACTGCAACCAGTCAGAGCCTGATCGTTGGAATTCCAGCTGCTCGCGCCGTCGGGGGTTTCCCAAGAATTCGCCGCTGCTGGGTGCCACTCCGCGTTCGACAGGTACGTGATGACAGCAGCCTGAGGTCCTCGAATCCTTCGGCACCTCCAGGCCGCGGGGGGGGATAGCGAGCTCCTGAACCAAGCCACCCCACGCACGACCCACTGCGATACGAAGATGCGGCTCAGACACCCGCGTAGCAAGCCACATTCTCAGCGCGTCGAGAGGAAGACGGCCGGCGGGGTCTCGCTGCGGCACCTTGAGATCAAATGGCGCGGTGACGCACCTGCCAGTGAGCCTCGGCGCGGAGGCGCTGGCAAGCCGGCGTCGGACGGATGCCATCTGGCCCCCAAACACGCCATGGAGTTGGTGTGCGCACAGCCCCGCTGGGGCCGCGCCCTGCTGCTCGAGTCGACTGGTGACTCGACGCCGTCGTAGTGTCCGAGCGTATCTAGTGATCTTGGCCGACGTCGCATGATGTTTGGTCGCCCTCGATCGCCTCGTAGCCCGTGCTTGCCTGCGTCCGCCGCTCAGGTCGGCGCCGAGGTAGGGGGCCTGACTAGCATACTTCAGCTTGTACCCCTGTGCTGCAACTCGGCGTGCGATGATACGAGCGTCCTCGATGTGGCTGCAGATCACGACGCTCCTGGGAAAGGTCTTCAGACCTGCAGCTTCCATGCTATGGCACGTGTCGATGAGGCATCGGACCATCTGCTTCCGCATACTGATTCTCGAGCCACGGGCCACCTGTGATAAATCATCCACCAACAGGCGATGAGACATATTCACGTGAGCCGCGGTGATCTTGGGCATGATGAAATGAGCGGCGCATTTCCCAAACCTCGTGCCCCCCCTCAAACCCTGCACAATAGATCGGGCGGGGCAGAAGGGGGGCCATACGCTCCTGATTGTCGAACATCGCACTGCCATACATTGCTGGAGCTCGAGGCCTAGAATCTCCGCAGGAAGCTCGAGGCGCAGGGCTGCGACCCCGATGCGATACCAACCAACACTGTCATAAAAAAAACTGCGCTACATCGCACAAGCCGTGTCCATTTGCGACTCCGGGGCGTCCTGCAAGTTCGTCGTCGACAGCGCGAAAGAATACTTCTCGCACAGCGGAATTGCCGCGCACAGCGGCATCCCAGTGTGCCTCGCACTCGCCCGTCCAAGTCTTGACGTAGCCCTCGCGGGCCTGCGACCACATCCTGCCGAAATGCGATAGAAGGCCGATAACTCGGTCCCCGCTGATTTTTTTCGGCAATAAGGTGCCGATGGTGATCAGCACTTGATGTGGCCACACCTGGTGATGTTCACAAAGAGAGAGCAGTGCTGCCAGTTCGGCCAGATCAATGTCTGGCAAACGATCCACATCTAGAGAACACAGCCGACCAACACCCGTCGCCGAAGAAGGTTTCATTCGTCGGAGCGCAGATCTAAGATCGGCGACCTCGATGGGCGGCAGTGCCTCGTGCATGCTGCCGTGACGGATCTGATGTAGGCCCTGGCCACAAGACACACAACAAGGTAATCGAGGTGGGGCGGTGTCTTATCCCCTCCTGGCGCGCACGTGAACCCAGCACTACTGCACAAAATCTGCCCTCCCGTGCGCTCCAACAAACCAGTTTTTCCAAGGGCGCTGGGGGTGAAATTCCAATCACCAGCAACGACCCAGGGAAGCTGGAGAAAGGTTAAACGACTAGCGAATTTGCGAAATCGTGATACGTTCTGATCACGGAACCCGATGGAAGAGTGCCCCTAGAAAACGATATATACGACAGAGAAACCTTTTCAAATGCAAGACCACTGGCAAACACCCGTCAAATGCCGAGCCGCGATCTGCTCGCAGCCCGCGCGCAGCCTTCGCAGCGTCCAGCACCTGGACTGGCAAGTGATTCCTAGCGTAGAAAAGCTCCCCGCCTTCGCAACTCTGGGCAGAGTCTCTAGCTTTGGGCCTAGCAGGATTACACAACAACCCAAGAGAACACTCGCGTGCCGTATTGCGCCATCCTACTATTGCTCTAGGAAGTGTACGTGTACCACCGATGGACATGTAATCGAACGAGCTGCGCTGCAATAGTCGAATGTGCCCCCATGCCGTATCGCCCATGCAATTCACGCTCGCGAAGAATATGTATGAAGAGGTTGAGGTATGTGTAACCTCAGGGGGAGTGGCCGAGGACTCGCTGCTGCCAGAAACCGAAGTGGCTGCAGTGGATGTCGCTGTGGACGTACTGCAACCAGAACCCGATGTGACTCCAGTACTCGATGTACTGGTGCTCCCCGATGGCGACGCCGAAGTCGCCATTGTTGTCGAACTTGCTGAACCTAGTTACGAGCCCGCCCTCGGAACTCCAGCAACTGGGTCAGCGCCGCGAGCCTGCTGGGCCGCATCCTTGTCGCGAGCAGCGGCCCCCTTCGCTGCGAAGCGCGCCTGGGACAGCCGCTCGGCCTCGCGCTCGAGGGCGGCCTCCTCGTCAGCGGACGGGGCTGCGGCCTCCGCGCTGCTGGCCGTGGCGCCTGGTGCCGACTGGCCCTCGGCAGTGGCGTCGCCACCCTCGCCGCTGCGCCGCTTCTTGGTCATCCGCTCCTGCACGGCCTTCTGTTCGCTCTTGACGCGATCCACGAACTCGCTCCACTGCGCATTCTTCTCCTTGATGGCCTTCTGGCCCTCGTCGCAGTCCCACTCCTCGAATGACGCGAACAGCTCTTCGTTCATGTTGAGTCCAGGGCACGTGGGCTCCATGCCTTCGCTTTTGGCCGTGGGGCGAAACCCCTCGGCCTTGGCGAGGGCAGCAGTGGCTGCGCGCTTGGTACTCTCGCACTTGGCCACCTCCTGCGTCGCCTCCTGCTCCTTCTTCTCCGCTGTCGCCAGCTGTCGCCGCAGGCGGACCACCTGCTCGACCAATTGGCCGTGCTTGTTGGTCGCCCCCTTGAGCGCCCCGTCGGCCCGCTTGACCTGGTCGACGTCCGAGGCGTTCGCCTGGGACGCCATGCTGCTGATGCGCTGCTTCTGCGCCTTCAGCACCGCCGTGAGCTCGGCGTCGGCGCTCATGGCCATCGCCTGGTCCAGCATGGCCTCTACCTCCTGCTGCTGTTTGTTTTTGCGCCGGCCCTTGCCTCCACGGCGAGACCCGCGGGGTGTGCTCGGGCCCTCCTCGTCCTCGCAGTGCACATGTCGGTCCTGACTGGGAGACCGTGAACGTCCTGACCTGGGGACGAAGATGCGAACTTTGTGCGTACAGGATGCGCAACGATTGTTGTTCAGCCGGAGGCGATCGTTGTACTCGCACGTCTGACAGTGACTGCGTGACTGCACATGGACCACGCACGATGGGGTCGGCTGATCTGCTGTGGATTCCCCATAATGCTGCAATGAATGTATCCCAGCTCTCGTTATCTCAAACTGAATGTGGGGGAAGACAGATCTGAGATATCCCTCAAGCGCCTCGTGAAAACTCTGGGATTGGACAAGAACGCGGGCCTTCGACGGGGCGAAAGACTTGCGTTCGTGCCCAAATTGTTTGGGGAAATAGGAAAAGGAGGAGGACGAGGAGGAGGAGGAGAAGAGGAAGAGGAGGAGGAGGAAGAGGAGTAGGAAGAGGAGGAGGAGGAGGAGGAGGAGGAGGAGGAGGAGGAAGAAGAGGAGGGAGGGGGCAGAGGTGGGGAGGAAAAAGGCGGCAGGAGGGAGGTGGTGGGCATGGGGAAGCGGGGCTGGCCTTGTTCCCTTGGAGCGAGGAAGGGGACGCGAAGGAGAAGGGATAACGAGAAGGATGGGGGATGGGGGAGGCGGGAGGTGACGATAAGAAAAGACAATCAAACAAAAACTGTCGAGATGTCCGGATGCCCCACCAGGCCGTCGCCACCCCGCCGCGAGCGCTGCCGAAGAGGCGGGCGCGGAGGGAACGATGGATCAAAACAAAACGGGGGGAACACGAAAGGTGGGATGAGAGGGGGCGAGATACGTGGGTAGTTCGAAAAAAAGGGGTCCTGAAGGATGGGGTCCTGAAGGTCGGCAGGGGTCCAAGGATGGATTTCGCCTGCTTGAAGCACCGCGTCCTCAAGACCCCGAAGTCGGGCCTTAACGGAGAAACATCGCCTGCGACAAAGGGCAGGGACGAGGAGGGTTATGCAGGGATGTGTGAGAGAAGCAGGAGGGAAGATGAGAAGCAAGGGCGTCTAGAGCATGGGATATGAGGAAGAATCCACGTATCGCCTACGACAATTCTACGCTTCCGTCGTAGATTCGGCCGGGGGAAACCATGTTTGGGGCAAATCAATTGTGTAGTCGACCTCCTAAGCCTGCGCCCCCGATGATAACCCCCGGGGGACAATCGAGTTCGGGGGCCCAGCGGGGATGGTCAGCGATTCTCCCGGCGAGGGATGATGATGATGATGATGATGATGATGATGATGATGATGATAATCTTTGGCGCTCGTGTCGACTGGCCCTGTAGATCTTGGTACAAGACTGACTCGACAGATCCCGAGTCTCGTGGCTACAACTTGCCTGCGCAAGAGAAGACCTAAATGCTCCTGACCAAGAAACCGCTTTTGCGCACAACCGCGAACCACTCGCCCATGAAGGTCCGGCACCCTTTTGGAGCCGTCCTTGCACGGGAGGCACTTGGTGCAGGCCTGGGCGGCAGCGCTTGCCTCCTCGAAGGTGGCGTGCTTCGGCTCGACCACCAGCTGAAATGGTGAGACCGCCATTGCCATGCTCAGCGTTTTTGATGTTGTTGCTAGTCAGCATAAAATGTGAGCAACTTCGATCCGCAACATCCCCCAGGGATTATCAAGTTCGGTTTTCGCGCCCCTCTCCACAATAAAACCCCATTGACACGGGATAATCAATACTCAGGGAGGAAAGGGGGCCAGGGGGGGGGTACGATTTATTATCGGGGGCACGGGGTTACTCGAAACATGCACTGGTCCCACAAGTTTGCTCGGGGGGCGACCTTACCGCCATGCTGAGCGGGAGAGCGGGAGGGAGGTGCACGGATGATGAGGTGGAGAAGGGACGAAGAGGAATAGGCGGGGGATTGGCAACGTTGGGAGGCCAGGATTTCTACGTATCCTCCACCCGGAAAGTCTACATATTCCAGGACCTGCGAAGGTGCTGAATACGGACACGTCGGGGCCCCCTCTCATCCTCCCCGGCTCCTCCTTTTCCTCCCCCTTCTCCTCCTGCGCCTGGTCGCCCTCCTCCTCCTCCTCCTCCTCCTCCTGATCCCCTTCCCCCTCCTTACTCAGTCCTCGAGGCCGATCGGGGAGAAACCGACCATTGACGGGCGCCGCGTCGCGACGCTCGCGCTCACGCACCCGGGGCCAGCCTCTCCAGGGTCTGGGTCTTCGGGTCAAACCTGGTCTCCTCGGGATGCTTGTGGGCGTACGCCGCCCGGCATATGCGGCAGCCGAGGTCTGCAGGGCTCGGGAGTTGCCAGAAGTGGTTCGGCGGCGCGCCGGGGGGGAGTAAGCAGGAGGAGAAGGACTTCTAAGAAGGCTCAGAAAATCCTGCGGCCTTCTGAGAAGGCGTCTAAGCCTTCCCAGAACACACAGAGCAGCTCTCACAAAGCCGGAGGACTTCTGAGAAGCCTCGCCGCCCTCGTAGGAGGCCTTCTCCTCCTCACTTGCCCCCCTCGCTCGCCGCCGAGTGGCCCTGGCCCAAAATGCGCCTAGCTTTTCACGCCAGCTTGGAGCCCCAGAAACCTTCTGGGCCTCGAGGCACCTGGGCATCCACGGGACCCCTGGGGACACTCTGGGCCAGGAACACCTGTGGCAGCGCCCGGATGGAATCCAGCGGGAGGCGTCTCGCCAGGCGCGCCCCACGATCGCAAGAAGCTCCCGCCCTGCCACTCGGACACGGGAACCTGCCTCCATTAGGAGGCAACTACTGGGGGGTCTTCGTCGGAGAGATGAAAAAGATTAAGCTCCATTTGGGGGCTGATGCGCCAGATTGGGCCGCGGACTAAGTGGGATTAAGCCGGATGAAGCGGGGTTAGGCGGGGTTAAAACCGGATTCAGCGGGATCAGGCCGGATGAGACTGGCTTTCGGACCAGGGCAACGTCAAAATTCAACCTCCCAAGAGTTGCATCCGAATGCCTCCACCAGTTCAGCCGGTTCCAGGCGTCCTCGCTCCTCAGGGCCTCCTTGATATTCGCCGCGGCATCCACAACCGTCTCCTTGCTGATCTCGATGAGGGAGCCGGGGGGCACGAATCTCTGAATGTCCGGTGCTCCAGAATAAACCCCAACGCATCCAGCCTTGAAGCCGTCATAGACCTTCTCAGTGACATAGCCTGGCTCTATACTGTTCTCGAAGGCAAGATATACGCGATATTTGCTGATGACGCTGACCTTGTCTCCCGTGGCAATCTCGTGAGTGAACTTGTTTGTGGTTCGCTTTGGCGCACATTTGCCAAGCGAATGCACAGGAACTCCCAGCTCAGCAAGCCTCGAAACCAGATCTCCCCTTTCTCCGCACTTCCTGGCCAAGAATGCAACTGCGGGCAATCGGTCGTGAAATCCCGGGACCGACTGCTTTCCCCACTCGTTGAATTTATAAACATCGTTCATGTAGAACACGGGCAGGTCCGATGCCAAACTGGTGGTTGCAGCCATGTCGTAACCCAATCTCGTGATGTTCTCGAGGCTGTACTTCGGATAGCAAGAGGCCCCACATCACTGCACCGACAACGCGCTCCTCCCCCTCCACTATCCCCAGCCCGCGTGTCTGAACCCACGGTGCGCGACCCGCGGATACGCGGCCGCAAGCGTGTGCTCCGCGCGGGGCGTCCGCGAGAACACGCCCACGTACGGCAAAATCGCGTCGTGACAACCCTGGCGATGGTTTCCGACACCGCGTGGATCGTTCAACCGTGAAACTTCGGCCGTTCCCGCAACGCCCAATCGTTAAACATCGACCGATTCTGGGTCGCCGCCGGTCGACACGACGCGAACCTGCCGTATCCGCGGGGTCGCGGCCCCAGGGGCCACGCCCGCGAGGCCGCGGACATTCGGGCATGTCTTTCGCCTCCTGCTCCTGCTCCTGCTCCCGAGTGCGGCCACTGCTCCGTCTCCCCGGCCCCCTCTCCCCTCTTTTGCACGAGCTGCTGTTCCTGCCGTTCCACCTCAGCATGCTCTTCTGCCCTGTGCGAGTCCTCGTCCCTCGTTCGTCCCCCCTCCTCCAAGATGGAGGATGGAGAAAGAGGGGGATACTGAAGAGGTGTACGTACGTAAGGGGAGGTGAGGGAGATGAGCCGTTGGAAGACAGAACGTACGAGGTCGAGGAGGATGGCGCATGAGGAAGATTCGACTGGAGAGGATGAAGGGAGAAGGAAGAGAGACGTGGACGAGGAGGAAGGAGAAAGCGGGGGATGACGAAGGGACAGGAGGAGAAAGATGGATGAAGAGGAGGACGACGAGGAGAGGGAGTCAGAAGGGAGGAGGACAAACGCTGACATGACGTGACCTGGGGCCTCCCAGATAATTCTTGGTGGACTCCATCATCATGCCTATGCTGAATACTCCTCCGAACTCTGGCTTAGCACCCTCCACGTCTCGACCGACCCATCTCGACCCCACTTCGCCGCCGACCGCAGGAGGATGTTGATCTGGGATAAGAAAACCCAGGATTCGCTATGGGCTGGTTTACTTTAACAACCGAAGCCCTCCCGACCCCCCCCCGAAAACCTTCTGGGAAGGGTTCTGGGAGACTGTCAGAAGGTTTCGGGAAGGTTTTGGAAGGGTGTTCGTCGTTGTGGGGGAAAGTCCCTAGCGAACCCTGGCAGTTCTAAATCTAGGAAGGGAGAACATGTCATCAGGAGAGGAAACAAGGGCAGGAAGACAATCCTGAAGGTCTCGAGCGGCAGCTGAGACCCGATGTGCGTCGGATCCGCGTCGGCTGCATGTTGGATCCAAGTCGGATTGACGTCGGGCTTTCGCCAAACGTCGGACGCACAACGCCTCGCACGTCTACGTCGGAGTACGTCGGAAAATCGCCGCGCGAACGCCGTCCCCTTATCCGACGGGGCGGACGTGTAGGATACGTCATCCAACAATGGCGCTTCGCGCGAGGCCTCCAGCATGTTGTCCTCATGGGCCGTAGACTTAGAGGTCAGGGAAAGGGGAGGGGGTCGGCGCCGAAGGTTATCGAGACGAGCCAGGCGGATCGCGTCCGCCGTATCACCAGAGTCGAGCCGGCGGATCTAGAGGAAGAGAAAGCGTCACGAGCACAAACTCTCGAACGTCCGCGCGGATTCCTTGGAGGCTGGCGCTAGTCGTACTCCCGCAAGTTGACTTGCATAGCATTCCCCCCCCCCTCAGCTGCCTTTTCCAACAGCGCTGGGCAGCACAGGCGTGCAACTGAGTCCCGACTTGCATGGAGTTCATCCAGGTGCCCTTGTGGGCCTCACCACGCCCCATCTCCTCCCTTCTCCTTCCAAAACTTGCCAGAATCTGACGAAAGACTGCCTCTTTGACCGGCGCCGGACTCCCCCTCCCTGGGCGCCAGGGGCGGCGTTGAAGGCGCTGCCAGGGGAGTCCAGCGGCGGATCCGAGAAGCTCGCGCGGGCCCTCGAAAGGTGATGCTTGTGCCGCCCTCTCCTCCTCGAGGATCGCGTTCGCGGTGGGCAGGTGGTAGACGATCGCGTCCGCCCTCCTGCCGCACTCCTCCTGGGAGCCGGCCTCGACACAGGTCCGCCGCCCCCTCTGGGCTCAGCTGGGCGCGCCAGGGCCGAGGCCCTCATCCGCCACGTTCTGCCTGCCCTCCCCACTCTTGTATTTGCCATAGCTGGGACGCCACTTCCCCGCGCATTTCTTGCCGCCGTGCGTTTATTTCTCGCCGTCGCTGGAAGATCTCCTCGATGGCCCTCGCCGAGACAACTACGCTTGAGCAGGGACCGACCGTCCCGGCATTCCTATAGTCATACCACGAAGTGTTCCTAGAACCCAAAAGTGTGCTAAGAGCAAAAATAATGTTCTTAGAACATAAACCTGATGTGATAAAACAAGACAGACTCCGCCAGAACTGTTCTAAGAACATGTCGTGGAAACCACAGAAGGTTCTTAAGAACATTGTTTGGTAGGGCTATAGGCGAGCCAGGACGCTTCGCCACTGCTTGATACGCACATGTCCGAGCGATGCCAGGTATACCCTTCCTCATCCTTACGGTTTTTGGATGCGGCCAGACCTAGGACAGAAGAACATCCTGAAAAAAACATGAGACCCCCGCCTGCCAAACTGAAGGACATTCGAGAGCACCCTCCTCCAGGACGCAGAAGAACACCCAAAAACACTAAGAACACTTGGGTACCCTCCCCGAACGGGCCTCGATCTTATCCCTCGACCTGACTGCATGTGCTTGGTGGATGTGTTGGAGCCTCTGGGGGCCTCCCTGGAAGATACAGGAGGCAGCTCTGGAGGCATCGGGGGCTCAGGGACATGCAGAGACGTCCAGTCCTGTCCCGCCCAGTCTGGTTCTCCTCGTTGGGCAGGGGCCCGCCGAATACTCAGACAGATCACGGGGTCTGCGGACATGGGGCCAGCCTGAGAAGTCCAGGTCCAGAGGTGACGTGCTGGGCTGCGGCTTGTTCTGCGACAGCTTCAACGCAGCACGTCTAGTGCATCCATTATTTGGCGTAGAACCGCAGAATGTTCGCCAGCGTGGACCCCGAGCAGTGCATTACTGCGCTCTGGTGGTGCGCTCTGTGCGGCGTAGGCATGTGCCCGTCCAACTTCATGAGAAAGCGAAGTACGAACCCCCGAGTGCAAGCACTGTTGAGGGAATCTGAGACTGCTTGACTCAAATTTCCACGACCAGCCTCCGCGCTCTGAGGCACGAGCTGCAATATCATCAGATGCTTTGAGACCCTCGTCCAAAGCCCTGAAAATTGAAATCTCAATGGCCCGGACCCAAAATTCTAGATTCTCCTGGAGCTTCCCGCATGTCAGGCGTGCCCCCTATGTCGGGATGCTGTCCCCGCGTGTCCCCACATAACTTGTTCGGAGCCAATGGGGCCCAACACGGGGCAAGAGGGCTCCTAGAGGAGCCCAAGGCAGTCCAAGACGGCCCGGGTCGACCCAGAAGCGATCCAAGATCCCAAGATAGCCTTAACAATGGCCCAAGAGGCCCCGAAGATGCCCCAAGAGACCTCCAAGAGGCCAAACTTATTGACTTTGCTTAGTTTCCAACCATCCTGCGTGGTTAAGTCCTCGCTTTGACACGGCAGCGCCCCACGTCCCCTTCCTTTCTTCCTCCTCCCCTCCGCCCCTTCTGCCCTCCTCCGGACGTCCATTTTCGGCACACCCCTCACACGCTTCCTGACCCCATAGGAAGCTCCGCTGAAGGCCGCAGTGGCAGGGTTCGCATGGCGGCCCCGCCCCATTTCGGCACACTCCTCACGCGTCTCGTGGTCCTGTAGGTTGCTGCACCGAAGGCCCTAGTGGCAGTGTTCGCTTGGCGGCCCCGCCTCATTTCGTCACACCCCTCACACGTTTCGTGGCCCCGTAGGGAGCTCCACCGAAGGCCCCAGTGGCAGAGTACCCGTGCCAGTTCGGCGCACCCGCGCACGCTTCGTGGGCTTGTGGGAGAGCTCCACAGACGGATCCAGTGGGAGCGTTCGCATGCAGTCCCCGCCCCGGATATGTGAGTGAGTTTAGTGGTCTCGCCTTTTCGGGATCCCGATGCTCCAAGACGGCCCAACAGCCTCTCAAGATCATTCCAAGAGGCCCTCAAGAGGTCCCAACGACAGCCCAAGAGGTCCCCAGCACGGTCCAAGAGGCGCCAAAGACGGCCCAAGAGGGTCCCAAGATGGGGCCCAAGAGGGGCCCATGAGAGGCCCGAGAATTGGTACACTAACCGATATGTCGAGCCCTATGCCCCATGATGACCCCCGAGACCGCCAGCAAGGCCACAAGGGGCCCCCCCAAAACCCCAGCACACCCGAGAGGCCCTAAGATACCCCCAACACAGCCTCCAAGAGGTTTCCAAGAGGCATCCCAGGAGATCCCCACAGGCATCTAAGAGGCCTCTGACCTACTACCTAGTCACGGAAGCGGGATGGGCCGACGGCCACTAGCTTCCGCCGCCCCCTGTTGCTTGCCACAGGGGTGCACTGCGTGCCAGACGTCTGGTGCCGTTGGTCCATTTCTCAAGAACACCCACTGGGGCTTCGGCACAGCCCGCCAGCCACCCGAAAGGCACCGTATATTCCCCAAACATATCCCCAAGATGGTCCAGATTGCGCCGAAGACGGCCAAGATGGCCTTCACGATGCCTCCAAGACGGCCAAGATCGGCCCAAGACTACCCCAAGATGGGCCAAGGCGTCCAAAGAAGCGCCCAAGAGGCCTCCGAGAAGGCCCAAAAGGCCTCCAAGAGGACCTCGGGGAAGGCCCGAAGAAACCAGAACTATTGATGTTCGCTAGGTTAATGAAGGATTCGTGCAACTGCTCCGTGTCGGCCCTCCATCTGCGCAGGAGTTCCCCAAGATCGCCCCAAGAGCGCCCACCAGGCCTTAAAGATGGCACCCCTCACAGCCCAAGAGGATCCCAAGACGGCCCCAAGACCCAAAGACGGCCCAAGAGACCTCCAAGACACCCAAGATGGCCTTCAAGACGGC